TCTGTTAATATTTCTCAATCCTGTTCTTAGTTTTCTTACAGACAATCAACACACTAGAACTTGCTGAAATCAAAATCACTGATGATGGAATTCAATATTTGGCTGATTTTTTGGCAACGAATACAGTGATTTGTTTTATTTTATTATCTCTTATCTTGATTTTCATCTGTGTGTGTATCTATAGTCAATAAATTCATTGAATCTCCAATATAATTTTATCGGAAACAAAGCAGCTGCATATTTGGTGAATGGTCTTCGTAACAATAAGGTAAAAGTTTTGTTCTGTGAATTACATTATTTCTATCTATTCATTTATCCAAAGGCACTCAAAACACTTAATGTGAGTCGAAATAACATTCAGAACGAAGGAGGAAAATATCTTGGTGATCTTCTACGACATAATACGGTTAATTTTTTTTGTTTTATTTTTGTTGTTCTTCTCATATTCATTCTAATTCATTATATAGGCACTTACATCACTAAACCTCAGTAAAAACCGATTGGGAGACGAAAGCGCCCAATATTTGGTTGACGGTTTACAAGAAGATAAAGTGCATATTTTTTCTCCATCTCCACTTATAATCATCATTTTTGCATATAGACACTTACTACACTCGATCTCAGTGGCAATGGATTTGAAGATAAAGGAATTCAGTGTCTCTTCAATGCAATGCAAAATAACACAGTAAGCTGTCTTTCTTTATGGATCAATCTAATTTTAACCTTCAATTTTGGTTGTAGAGTCTTATCGAGTTTAATTTTTCGCAATACGATATTCGAGGAGAAGTTCTTCAGCACGTGGCAAATGCTATTCGAAATAATCAAGTGATTGGAACTTTTTGATGTCACTGGTCTTCTTTTGAAATTTTTATTCTTATTTGTAATATAGACACTCAAAGAGCTCACTTTATCTCAGGATAAAATCGGAAATAAACCACCTTTTTATCGAGTACCTGGTTCATCAACTGACCTGGTACACTTTGTTTGATTCTTCGCTAAGATTGCCGATATTTTTATTTTCGTATAAAGGTTATCAATACTGATACTGACGGAACTGAAGTTGAAGATGTTAAATGTCTGGCAGATGCTTTGCAAATGAACAAGGTTAAGTACTTTTCTTTTTCCATTCCATACGTGTTTTCGTAATTTGCCATTTTATATAGACGCTCATCAAACTCTCGCTCTCAGACAATAGAATAGGTGCCGATGGTGCCCCGATACTAGCTGATGCTTTACGAAAGAATACGGTGAAATTCATATATTTTTCGTTTTCTTCATTATCACATTCATTTTACCTAATGTAGATACTCAAGTGTCTTAACTTGGACTATAATAACATCAAAGACGAAGGAGCTCAACATTTGGCCGATATGTTACAAACTAATACGGTGAATTTCTATTGATAATTGAGTCTAATTTATGTACATATTGATTCTTTTATACAGAAACTGTCTGAATTAAGTCTTAAACATAATGATATCGGTGATGAAGGATGTCAAAGTTTAGCGAATGCGTTACAAACTAATAAAGTGAGTTTCTATTAATTGTATTTACTCTATATTTTCTTATTGATTTTTTCATACAGACGCTCACCAAACTTGAACTTGATGGCAATTACATCGGAAACGTTCAATGTCTTGTTGAAGCTTTACAATATAATACAGTGATTTTCTTCTTATTATCTCATCTACTACCACCTATATTCTCATATATTTTCTAAAGGTATTAACGTCACTTAGTATAAGAGAAAACTTCATCTATGGCAGCGACAATGAACCTGTGATAGAAGCTTTGAAGAAAATAGCGAGATTGAAGCTCCAGATTTGAGAACAGTTGGCAACTTTCGGCGTTTGCGAAAACATTTAACAATTCAATTTTTAAATTGTAGTTTATTTTAGTGACTTCATATTGAAAGCCCGAATGATATATTTATTGTAAGAGAATTTCATCAAATCATACAAGATATGAATCTTACAAAGAAACACTTTGATTTATCATTTTGTGGAACTCACGTATATTTTCGAAGAAAATAGTGAGTGGTAAGTTTTATGTTCAAGATTTCGCGCCCCCCCCCCCTCCCCTTACGGACCATAGCAACGAAAGAGAATATTACAGGTTCCCCTCTTACAGACACCCCCTACAGACCTTTGCAACCGCGCGCAATAGGCTTTAGCTTTATTTAACAATACAAGTAACGTTCATCGTCAAGCGATTCACTTAGCCCTAGACTGATAGAATACATGTACGGATGTAATAGCATAAAAAGCTACATTAAAAAAGTAATACGCAAAATTGATAATATGACCAGTATATCTTAGACGAGCAGAAAACTTAATTTGGAGAATTCTCACTCTAAGTAAAGATGATGCATTTACAAATTTAATTTTTTTTATCGTTTTTGTTTTATTTTTTTTGCTTTTATAAATATAAATAGCGCCCAATAAGATTAGACAACAATACGATTTTTTATAATTATATTGGCGTTATTTGTACGTACAAAAATATGAATTATATTATTCATAAAATTTGAGTTTTATTAATCAATATTTTATGCTTAAATTCGCGCATTAATTCTAAACTATTAATAAATTAGATATTCATTGATACAACATTGCACAATCAATCCTACAATAATGAATAATTTAAACGATTTCTTTAAATCCATACTGCTCATTTGCTCTGACTATCACTAATTAAATGCTTTTCTAAGCCGTTTTACACCACTACCCGAATTATAGCTATTCCATTGACATTTTACCCATGATTATTATGGGTTCATTTACATCAGTCTTTAGATGGTCACTTGTACCATAGTTACCGGAATAGTTGTTTGTACCATGGTTGCTATATGGTCACTTGTGCCATAGTTACGTGGTCGTTTGTACCAAAAAAATGACCGTTTGTGCCATAGTTACATGCTCATTTGTACCATAGTTACCTAGTTAATTTTAGTAAAAAAATGGTCGTTTGTGCCAAAAAAATGGTCACGTGTGCCAAAAAAATGGCCATTTTGACCGCGTTACCGACAGACAGACAGACAGACACAGGTGAATTTCGGTTTCTAGACCCTAGCCTTTCAGTCTAGGGAAAATAAAAAAGAGTTGAACAGTATGAATAATATGAGTTCGACTGATGTACAATATTTCAATGCTTTCAAAATTATTTGAAAACTATTGTATATTTGTTAAAGTTCTTAATAGTGTAGTCGTTCACTGTTTTATAACTAAAACTTGTATGCTAAAAATCAAGGATGAAGAGTGGTTATATATATTGATCTGTCATAAGAATTATATAATCAATATGAAGATGTGATTCGATCTTTTTATCAGTGTGAAAAGCAAACAATATCATCATTTATAGATGAATTGAGATATATAGTAGTGTGGTAAGAACTGTTGATATATACAAACTGCATTATTGTAATTAGTCTTATTCATTAAATAGTTGATGGTGAAAAAATAATATAATTTTAAATAAAAAAAAACACAAAAATGATTATTATCGACTATATAGCAACAATTATAAATGAAATCGGGCGCGCTCAAACGAAAAAGACATTATGAGTTTTAAATATTGAAATAAATAATGAATTCTCGTTCTTGACATCGATTATTACTGAAAACAACTATAGTCGACAAGAAATTGTTCAGTTTGTAAATGATGTATTAGAATAACAAGGTGTGGGTGTGGGTATGGAAACGGATAGAAAAAAATGAACATCTACACCCGCACCCACACCCGCACCCTCGTCTTGTCATTAATTCTTGATTGAAACTCGACGAACATTGTTAGCTTATCAAATGGCATGGTATGAATAACAAAACCCAAATTAGGCTGGACTTGTTCACATGAGAATTTCATGACTCGAAATGACTTTATTATTACCAATATGACAGTTTCCATGAAGAATCGGCTGATATTTATCTGATTGATCAAATATTGACATGAGTCATTGTTGCTGTTGAATTGATAATATTGCGTTATGAAAAAATATTTTAGAAATTCGAGATTGCAATTAATTGTCAGATATTTTCAATGGGTTGAGTTGTTGCTTTCGGTTTAAATTACGATCTGGTTTTTTCAAGTCGTTACGAAAACCTTTACAAAATAATTACTACATAATTTTTCTTCCATTTTCTAAGTTTGTATTGCTTAACCAGTATTTTATTCTACTCTTAACTCAATTAACGTTGGTTTTGTTTCATTTCCATTTTCATCGACAGTCAATTGTGAAGATTGATTAGATGTAAATGGATTGGTAAATGAATTAGTTGGTTGTATTGTTGCATAATTATACGGTGGTGAAGAATATAAATTTGATTTGTCTGAATTCATTTTTTTACCTTGATGATGACAAGAACAAATGTGCGTGTATTTATGTTGTCTTGTTATATGTTTATAATGATGTCATTTTTTCTTATCTTGGTCAAAGTTTACTGAATGAAGAATATGACAAAACAAATCGAAATATCACGTGTATTACTCATTTGTACTTTAAAATAATATATAATACGACTCATTTGCATGAAACGATTCTTCAATTGTTTTCTTTCTTTATAGTTTACTTACAAATCTAACAGATTCAATGCTTAATTCCTGTATAAAACAACTTGATGTTTCTTGTATCTCAAAGATAATTTATTCAATAAAGTAATTAAAATATAAAGCAATAGATGGTCACATATTTCATTTGAAAAGAAAAATCATGAAATTGTAACCATACAAATTTTCTCATCCGATCCTTCTCCATCACAATATTCGTGCTCTTTCTGTTGATATATTTCCAGTTACACTACCAACTAGGGTGTGGGTGTGAGTGTGCGGATTTAGGGAAGTGTACACCCATACCCACACACCCCACATCCACCCATACCCACACTCACACCACCCACACCCCATAGCCACAGCCACAGCCACACCCACCCACACACCCACACCCTTCGATGCCAAAGAATGAAATTTTAATGTTATTACATCCGGCAATTGTTTGACCAATCGAATTAACATTCCGGTACTATATATTCTTCAATAATTTCCAAATGATATATTTGTGTTATTGTTAACACAAGTCTGATTCTTTCGAATAATATTTCAAGATAAAAAGGATTAAGATCAATTGCTAACATTAAACTAGTTGATGTTGAATGTTCAATATTCTTATTATCTATATAATCATACCAGGTTTTTCTGAAAAAAAAAAAAGAATTAATTTTCCATAAAAACTATTCATCGATATACTTGTATGGATAAACGATATATTTGATATCTGCATTATCAATTTCAACATGAAATATCCATTTTCGTTCAATCCAAAATGTTGAAGAAAATTGATTTATTTGTCCAGGATATATTTCATATTGATTATCATTATCAGTAAGATCATAATATGTGAAATAGAATTTTTCTAATTGAGGATAATAATATGAAATAAATTGTTCCCATCGATGAGCATCAAGAAAAAAGATATTTTCTGAACAATGAATAGACAAGATCTTTAAAGCTGAAGATATATTAACTAAGAATGTTTTTAATTCATAAAATGATATTTTGCACATATGTAAATAAATAAACATCAAATTAATTAATGTAATGGATTGTAACATCGTAATATTTGAATCAGTTTGATGACTAGTTAATTGACGAAGTTCTAGTGTATACGGAATTAATGATTCAAGTTCATTTAAAGAACAACGATGATTGATAATAAGACGTTCAAGTGGACTGCATTGGTTATTTGTCGCTAATGAAAGTGTAATTAAATGATCATCATTAAAACAGAACATACGATAATATTTTAATTTACGTAAAACAAATATTAATCGATATATATCATTAATTTTTTCTTTAATACACCATGCTTCGATTGTCAACGCGAAAAGACATGATAAATACGATAAATTGAATAGAATTGGAATAAGTATATCGGATTGAACGACTTTAACCAGAATACATTCAAGATGATCAAACGATGAATTTGATAAAAGCTGTGAAAAAAAATAACTGTCTTGTAAAATAAAATTTAAATGCATAGAATACATTTGATGCCGATTGGACACTATAAATTTTTTAAGCTTGTTTATAAATTCATCATTTTCAGATAAAAAAATATGAGTTTTATATAACATAGATGAAGAATGAAGAAGTTTTTCAAATCGAAAATTAAGATCGGAAAATGCTTTATATAATTGATATCCATCAAGGTAATCAAATATTTCATATAATAATTCATTGAA